GCACATCTGTGTAATCCCAATTCTGGAAATTACATCAGAATCCCACCCAGTTAAAAGTTCATGATCTTGTCCCCACACCCACAATCCATCACATGGTCCAATCCTCTTCTACCTCACTGCCATCTCCACCCAGATGCTTCCGGTCAGGTGCAAAGGTGCGGAGAAAAAAGATGATCTTCTAGAAAAGAATGACAACAATACATTCCACAATCCTACTCCTTTCTATTCCCCCCTCCCAACTATTACACTAATGAAAAAGCATAATGAATTAAGAGAAAGTGTGGCAGGCCAAAGATCCTAACAGAAATATAATTGCAGGCCTGACATCTTTCTTATTATTTCATAAGTCAACACTGAGTGAAGATGAAATAATAAAGAGTTGGAAGCCTTTCAAAGGACATCAAACTCCCTCTTTGCTAAGGCGGATAACTTGCTACTGCAGATTATTTGAAGTTGCAACGTTATTGTATTTCTATCCTGTCTACTAGGGGATAACCTGGCATTATGAGGGTTGCTAAACCAAAATGAAAAATAGGGTAAACATGGATCTGCTTCGTTTCCCAGGTATTCGTGGTGCAGCAAACGGCTGGTGGAACAACGCTACAGCTGGTCGAACCAGCTCGGTCTCTCCGATCTCATCCCCCTGGAAAACAGCAGCAGCCTCAAAAGGCAGGAAGGAGAGGAGAGGCTGGTGGTGGGTCACAACGTCTCCTTTGACCGGGCTCACATTAAGGAACAATACCTGATCCAGGTAAGACACCCCTCTCCATTTCTTCAGCTTGTTTCCTTCTCCTCCTCTGCCCAGTTCTCACGGTGGCTTGAAGGAGAAAAGGTTTGTGGCCAGGGGACGACTTGGCCAATCTTGAAAAATTAAAGTAGGGTCAGGTCCGGTTGCTCCTGTACTTAAATTGGGAGACCAGGAGATTCTGGATCTGTACTGGTAGTGTCAACCCTGAAGCTGACCTAAAGAAGGCCATTTTGAAGCTTCAGTGTTGTCACACTGGAGCGGAGGGATGGACAGGGAGGAATAGAGATAGCTGGGGTGTTGTAGCCAAAGCAAAATACTTTCTCCTGAGAACCAAGGACATTCCCAAAGGTGGTTGGAGAGAGGAGGAGATAAGTTGTTAGGCAACCGGACAACACCTTCATTGGACCATGTGACTGATTGGGGAGGGAGGAAGACTTTTAATGAGGTGAAAACCGTGGGAACCCTGAAGCTGATCTGACTGAGACCATTTTGAGGCTTGGGGTGGGGTGGGGAATAGAGATAACTGGGGCTTGTAGCCAAAACAAAATAGTTTCTCCTAGGAACCAAGGTCATTCCCACAGGTGGTTGGAGAGAGGAGGAGTGAAGTTACCAGGCAACTGGACAATACTGTGATTGGACCATGTGATTGATTGTTTGGGGAAGGGGGAAAACTTTTAATTGGGTGAAAACCACAGGAACATTCAGAGTCAGTTTTCACCAGCTGGTGCCAAAATGATTTATCCAATAAACCTGTTCTTTGGGGAATTCACCTGCCTCGGAGTTCTGCTTGCGATGGGTGTATCACTTGGAATTACCCTGACAGGTAGTCCTCGACCCACGATCAAATTGAGTCCCAAATTTCTGTTGCTAAGCAAGGCGGTTAAAGGAGTTTTGCCCCAATTTACGATCTTTCTGGCGACAGTTATTAAGCGAATCACTTCAGTTGTTAAGTGGATCAGTGCAGTCATTCAGTAAATGCTTTAGGGGTTGATGGTATATATTTCTTCGCCCCTGGTTGTTGCAAAAGATTCACCGACAAATGTGCGATAGACATATGCGCGCTGACTAAAACCGTGACGGACAAATGAGCGTCATCAAAATCGCTAATTGATTTTCGACAATAGCGCGACGGCAAATGCGCAACAACAAAATCACATCATCAACAAACTATAGACAGCCCAGTGGTGTGCTGGGCCTTTAACATAGTGGGACGTGTATACGTACGTTATAACCCTAACCCTAACCCTAAAATGTTTTCGATGTTATTGTGCTTGTCATCGCGAATTTGTCGTCGCGATTTTGACGTCGCGTTTTAATCGGCGCTATTTTGTCGGTGCGCATATGTCTATCGCGCAATTGTCGGGTCACGGTTGCAAAATACTACTCTGTTTGTATTGGAAGCACCTACCAGCATTAAGTAACTGCAGTGTACAATGGCAGTTGCTGAGTGAGGTACGAGTGGCCGCATTATATGCCTGATGTTCCAATCCACAGAGGTTTGTAAGGCAGCATTGGAGGGATGCTCCCTTTGAATTGTTCCAACCACTCTTTTAGGGATCCCAAATGCGATTCCTGGACACGATGAGCATGCACATGGCTATCTCTGGACTGACCGGTTTCCAGCGTAGCCTTTGGAAGGCGGCCAAGCAAGGCAAGGGGAGAGGACTTCAACAGGTCAAGCAACACATCAAGAAGACACGCGGCAAAGACAGTGGGCCCATGGTGAGTGGGTTCAGTCGTGGTCTCTTTACCTCTTTTAAAGCCTATCTTTAAAGGAGCAGAAAACAGTTGCCACAAAACAGATTAACGGAGTTGGAAGGGACTTTGTAGGTCATCTAGTCCAACCCCCCCCTCCCCTCCAAGCAGGAGACCCTACACCATTTCTGACAGATGGCAGTCCAGTCTCTTCTTTTTATTTTTTATTTTTTCATAACATATAATCACATGTATACTATTACATAGCCAATATCCTATTGTGTTAAGTAGTAATTACATCAGTTCCTCTTGTCATCAACGCCCAGAAAGATAAAAACCCATTATTAGCTCTTCTGCTCTCCATACACCTCTTTCTTCTATCTCTCTCCTACCTCCTTTCTTCCCTCCATCATCCTTTTCTACTCTACTTCCCCTTCCTTTCTCCTTCTCCTCTCTCTTCATTCCACTCCTCCTTATTCTCCTCATCTTCCCCCTTACCCTCTCTCCTATCCCTCTCTTCCTATCTTTCTTCTCTCCTCTGCTTCCCACTTTTCTTCTCATTCACTTGGTGTATTTCAGCTTCTGAGCAAACTCCATTCTATGTTGATGGTATTTATGCTTCCATATCAATATACTTAACATATCTTAGTTTTAAACAAAAAATAAGAGAAGACAGTATACATGTACAATCATATTACAGTCCAGTCTCTTCTTGAAAGCCTCCAGTGATGAAGCTCCCACCATTTCTGAAGGCAAGCTGTTGATTGCTCTCACTGTCAGAAAATTTCTCCTTATTTCCAGGTTGAATCTCTCCTTGTTCAGTTTCCATCCGTTATTCCTTGCCTGGCCTCCAAGTACTTTGGAAAATAGCTTGACTCCCTCCTCTCCATGGCAGCCCCTCAAATATTGGAAGACTGCTCTCATGTCTCCCCTGGTCCTTCTCTTCACTAGACTAGACAGGCCCAGTTCCTGCAGCTCTTCATCGTATGTTTTAGCCTCCAGTCCCCTAATCATCCTGGCTGCTCTTCTCTGCACTGTTCCCCTTTGTTTTATTTCTGCAAGATTTATTTTAAGCGGGAGAGTGGCATTCACAAATGGGTCTGCCTACATATTGAAGTCAACGATATTCTCTGTTTTCATCCATCCTTATTCTACTGCCTATAAGGATTAAGCAAGAGAGGCTTGGACATCTAATAAAGAGAACTGAGATTGCAAAGGAGATCATAGCAATAGCACTAAACACTTATATACCGCTTCATAGTGCTTTACATAGCAATAGCACTTAGACTTATATACCTCTTTGCAGTGCTTTACATCCCTCTCTAAGCACTTTGCAGAGTCAGCCTCTTGCCCCCAACAATCTGGGCCCTCATTTTACCCACCTCGGAAGGATGAAAGGCTGAGTCAACCTTGAGCCTGATAGGATTTGAACTGCCAAATTGCAGGCAGCTGGCAGTCAGCAGAAGTAGCCTGCAGTACTGCACTTTAACCACTGGGCCACCAAGGCTCTTAAATTTGGTTATTTAATCTGGTTATTTAATTCTGAGGGTTAAAACGATGGGGGGGGGGGAGAAACGAGCGATAATGATGGGAATGGATGGTTGTGTCTTTATTATTATATTAAAATGCTGCCCAACTTCCAGCAAGTCTTGTTTCTCTCCATGTGGTTTTCAACCTATAGATGAGTTTCTTATTTTTCTTTTGCTGGCCTACCATTGCAGATTGGCTCCTGGAACTGGGTGGACATCAGCAGTATCAACAACCTGGCAGATGTGCATTCGCTCTACGTGGGAGGCCAGCCGTTGCAGAAAGAAGCCCGGGAACTCTTCGTCAAGGGCAGCATGAATGATATCAGGAATAACTTCCAGGTGGGAAGGAAACCTTGGAAATCTCTGTCCTCAAAGGTGCTTTTTTTCAAGAGGCAACTGGACTTTCAGAAACTCCAGTTGCCCCTTAAAAAAAAACACCTTTGGGACAACCATGACCTGGATGACTGAGAATCTCCATACACACTTTGAAATCTCCCTTTCTGAGAACAAAGTCTTAGCTAGAAGGACCCAAGAAAGTATCTGCTTTAAATAATCAGGAGGAAATACTAAATCAAGGGGATGCTGTGGCTCAGTGGCTAAGACGCTGAGCTTCTCGATTGGAAAGGTCGGCAGTTCGGTGGTTTGAATCCCTTACGTCAAGTCATGGAGTGAGTTCCCGTTACTTGTCCCAGCTTCTGCCAAACTAGCAGTTTGAAGCAGGTAAAAATGCAAGTAGAAAAAATCCCTTTGGTGGCGAAGGTAACAATGTTCCGTGCACCTTCGGCATTGAGTCATTCTGGCCATATGACCATGGAGATGTCTTTGGACAGCGCTGGCTTTTCAACTTTGAAATGGAGATGAGCACCGCCCTCTAGAATCGGGAATGACTAGCACATATGTGCATGGAGAACCTTTAATACTAAATTAGCAAATGGCTTATGTTCTACTTTTAAATAACTGTCCATTCCTTATGTTTCTCTTCGTTCAAAGGAGCTGATGAATTACTGTTCCCTTGATGTTCAGGCTACTTATGAAGTATTTCATGAACAGCTTCCTCTTTTCTTGAAAAGGTGATTTATTCATTGAGTAAAAAATGCATTTGAGCATGAGACTCCAGTGTTCTGGGTTACCTGCCAGTCGTAGTTGACTTTGTATAGTTGTTTAGGACTTTGCAAAAAAAAATGTAGGAGCATGGAGTGAGCACAGTTTAGTTTGTGGATGCTCTCTGAGTTTGGTTGCAGACGTTTCATTTCCCAACTCGGCAACATCTTTAGTGCTGGAAAGGAGTGGGGTAGAAGGAGAGTAACCCACTTAGAAAGCAGCAAAAATCCCGCAGTTCAACCCAGAATTACAGATATTCTCTTTTATTGGTACAATTTATTTTCTCATTTCATTGAGAACGATTTTGGTAAATTTACTTGGTCCTGTATAGTGGTAGGAATGCTGCGCTGAACCATTAGTGATGCCAGGCAGCATAAGTGAGAGGAGAAAAATATATATTTGTTAGAAGAATCTTAATGGACAGTGGTGGTGTTTGGAAGCATCTAAGAAATGGTTGGCTATAGAAGCTCGCCACTAGTATTAAAACTATAATCTTTGTCTGTTGAAATAATAATCCTTAATCTTAAATAAAGTACTTGATTATTCCCCAAAGGAATGAATAGTAACCATGTTTTTTTTTTAATGGGGAAAATACATTGGGTGTCCCAGTGAAAGGATTTAACCAGCCTTTGGAACTACTCCAGATTTATTCTATAGAAGACGATTCTGAATTTTGTCCAATGATTTTAACCTTTCTTGTAAGGTTATCTCAGCTCAAGGTTGACTCAGCCTTCCATCGTTCTGTGGTTGGTAAAACGAGGACCCAGATTGTTGTGGGCAATACGTTGACTCTGTAAAATGCTTAGAGAGGGCTGTAAAAGCACTATGAAGTGGTATATAAGTCTAAGTGCTATTGCTATTATCAGATACTTTCTCTATATAGGCAACATTGCCCATCTTCTGCCAGAATTTGGATCTGACATTTGGGGATTAGCTGTTCCTTTCTCTTGTTCCCCGTTAGGTGTCCACATCCTGTGACTTTCGCAGGTATGCTAGAAATGGGGGTTTCTTACCTGCCTGTGAATCAGAACTGGGAGAAGTACCTGGATGAAGCTCAGATCACTTATGAGGAGCTGCAAAAGGAGATGAAGAAGTCTTTGATGAACTTGGCAGACAATACTTGTCAACTGCTTCACGAGGAGAGGTACTGCTCAATCGTGCCATAATTGGTAGAGTTAGTAGGCTTTAAACCAGAACTACCTTGTTTGTTGAACACGTGGGCCTTGCAATTGGGATCTCAGTCAAGCAGCTGCGTGACCCGACAAATGCGCGCACGACAAAACCGCGCTGACAAAAGCGTGATTTCAGTTAAGGTAAGGGTTAGGTTCAGGGTTAGGTTTAGGGTTTTATTTCAGTTAAGGTAAGGGTTAGGTTTAGGTTTAGGGTTAGGTTTAGAACTCGCGGTTATTACTTGTTGAAGGCGCGCTTCTGTCGGCGCGCTGTTGTCGGCACGCTTCTTCGCTCATTCATCGGCGCAATTTAGAACTCGCGGTTTTTCTCACCGCGGTTTTATCAGCGCGCATTTGTCGGTGAACCAAGCAGCTGTAGGGTGATAATGAGAGAAGAAGAATGGAAGAGGAACTTGACTGTACAGCCATAGAATCAACCTTATCTCCATGTTTAATTGCAGCCTGCAGAATCTCAGATGTTCAGGTGGTACCATTGGGTGGGAAAGGCTGTTTTAGAGAGGAAGTGGCTGTTTGACCACCTCCTTAGGGTTGGCCGGTTGTATCCCGATAGGTATAAAGGCGACCCCTGGATGTGGGACTTGAAATGGGACCTCCAAACATTTAAGCAAAAGAAAACGAAGCCAACTAGGAAGAAAAAGAAAGACGCCAATGAAGAGCCACCCAAAGTAGTGGAAAAAGCATCTCCGCTGGAGTGGCAGGAAGGTAAATGACCATTGAGTGATCAGATTGAGAGCGGATTTCCTTACATTTGTAGACTTGTGTGTTTGATTTCTCTTCATGGTCAGCTCAAAGAGGTTTTTCTTTGTCTATGTTGTATTATTATCTGGTGAAAATAGATCCTGGCCCCCCAACAGAAGAAGAAGAACAAAGCCAAAATACCAGCCAACAGGTTCTTCAGAGTCTAAAGGAGACGGTGGCTTTGCAGCCAAAGAGAATTCAGCACCTCCCCGGCCATCCAGAGTAAGTTTCTTTTTCTTTTTTTTAATTGATGCAGCTGTGTTCATTAACTTCTTTACGTACATAAGAACAGGTGAATCAATGTACAATACCAACAGGTGGTTCTTCCGAGTAAACACAAGGCAGGAGAGTTACAGGCAAACACAAGCAGTTTGTTTCATTTTCAGCAGACAAGCCCAGAAGACTGATAGTTTACTTCTCAGAGCAGCAGACTGCTAAAGTTTCTGTTTCAATTCTCTGCACAGATCTGTTTAAGCTCCCATTGGCTGACTTAGTTGCTATGCCTATTCATTGGCTGACCTTCTTTCCATGTCTCTCCCAGATCTTTAACAAAGATCAATCTAGAATTCAAGAGTGCATGATCTACAGAGTGGATTTCTGGATTTCCACCATTCAGGAATGTCCACAGAGATGGGAGAGGTCAAAAACTTCAAGAAGGCGGCCTCAGGTCTGCTCAAGGCCACCATCTTGATGTTTTCGACCTCGAAGTCTTTTTTATTTTATTTTAAACACATAAACACATCAACAAAAACATGACTTAACACAACATAGGAACAAGAAGTTCCATCATATATCATACAGCAGTTCCGTATCGGTTTCTTTACAGTTAGTGTTTTCCCTTCTATACATTTCTATCTTGCATTCATGGTCTCAGAGTAAGTTTCTAAAGAAATGTTTCATGTAGGTAAATAAGGCATTCTCTTGAAACAGTTTTGCAAAATCTGGTTCTTTCCATCTGTGATGGATTTCTGCTGCTCTAATGCCCAGTGAGCACAGCTGGGTCTTTCTTTGGCTAAATCTCATGGGAATGGTATATATATCTGTTCTTTGGAA